GCAGGCAGCCTACTCTCTGCTCTGTGTAGCTGTGTACTAAGATATCACTGTAGCTACAATAACAATGGCTAAAGTAGTAGTGGTGTCAACAAGATGGAAGTGGATTTGTCTTAAGCTATAATCACTGGAGTGCAATCAGTCAAGGGTTCGATGCTGCCAGAGACCCCAGCTCTTCAGTATTTCTCTGCTATTCTCTTTTTGTTTAGATGGCTAGTTCATCTTCTGCTCCCACATCTGTATTCTAACCAGCAAGAAGGGAAAACCTTCCTGTGAAGGGCAGACCTGTAAATTGCATACATCACTTCCACTCACATCCCATTGGCCATATACAGTCAGATAGCCACATCTACCCACAAGGGAGGCTGGAAAATATACTAAATATAGTTTATTTAGAAAGTAAATTGGGGAGAGAGAAAAAGGAGATTCACCTCCCCAAGGAAGGGAAGGGGTCCAAAGCTAGGAAACATGGCAGCCAAAGAGCCATGTGATATACCAGAGTTTAACAAGGCAATGGCTAAAAATATAATCTTTAGCTGGGAGACATGTCCAATCCAAACTACCATTATTTCAGAAGAAGAATACAGACCCTCTTAACTTGAAGTTTCCCTTCATCTTGTCACAAAAATTCCTCAAGAAAAATACTTGACTTAATGCATTTTCCCTCAGTGATCAGAAACCAATATATAAAGAGACATAGTCAAGTCAGTGACACTCACACACGGAAAAGCCAAGTTATGCTTACCTACAACTATAATTGTAATGGCATGTTCTGCTAAAAATTATTACCTTCCAAATTATCACCTCTTGACTTTCGGCATTTTTTGGAAGCAGCGGTAGTCCACAGAATGGTTTTCGGGCTGAGCTCTCCGTCTTCTTGTGTTGCTAAGAGCCCTACGTAATGAATACTGGGTCCCAAGACACGTCCTATAGAATGGGTGCTGCCCATCCACATCTAGCCAATATAATGATATCCCATTCAATGATTTTAAATGGCCTGTGACTTAGATAACGACTCTCCAAATGCTCCCCATTTGCTAAGTTAAGCATTCCTTTGCTAAGAAAAAGTATCCAGTCATTAAAAAAAAAAAAATCTGGGCAACCCCCTCAGGTCCCCTCTCACTGTGGGAGCTTTTCTGTCCTCTCAAACCCTGTTTTCTGAAAAAAAAAAGCTAAAGATTAATCTGTAAAAAGGATGCCTCCATTTCTTTTTCTTCCCACAAGTGCCTTCCAACTTTGAAATGAAGCAGCTCTACACTGTGTGGGTTCCAAGTTCAGCAGTTCCTTTCTTTTTATCTGTTGTTTATGCAGTTACTTCCACCTGGCTCCTTCAGTTTCCCTTCCACTCCCACAGAGACACAGAGGCCTGGGGAGTCTTGTTTGCTTTCTTAGAACACCCGTTCACTTAATAACACTGCTCTCCTTCAAAGCAGTTTATCTCTCCATTTCCTCCTGGTCAAATAAAATCATACATTCAAGTCACATTTCTTTTGGCTGAAGACACAATTAACTATCACCAAAACTACTGTGAGAAAGGCAGGTTGGTCATCATGATCATGAGCAGCCCCTAATTCAAAACAGTTTCAAAACAGCTTTGCTTGTGTGTGCATCTGGAGGACCCTACAGTTTGCTGAGGTCATGGCCTTGATGGTGTTGTTTTAACTCAACATGATCTGCCCAAGGCCTGGCTGGTGGAACCAATGAGAATGTTGTTGGAGAGCCTGGTAGTTCAATTTTATGTCATCCTTTAACGCTACCTGTCTCCTTAATGCCTGTCTCCATTCCCATTGTCTAAGTCCCTTTCAGTAGTCCATTTTGGATCCCTCATTTATTTATTAAAATCCTGGAATTCTTTTTGTGTTTACTCTTAGCCTGTGCAGCCTCTTGGGAGTAACATGTTTACCATCAAGTATGCTAGAATGACTGTCTTAATTTATCCTCCAGAGTGCCTCTTACAAATTACAAAGAAGAGTCCTGGAGTGATAACATGGTGGGATTTGATGAGATAAGTTCAGCTGGGGTTTTCACAACACAGTATTTAGCAGCTACAAAGGAAAGGAAGACAGAGCTGCCAGGTTAGTCCCAGGAAATCCCAAGACACATACTTTCAACATTTGCATTCTTATTTACATAAATTTGTATGTTCCCTTCAAAAGGTGCTGATTCCAATTATGTAAGCGGAAACACTTAATTCCTCTTTATCTGAGGGTGGATAGCCCCATGTTCTAGGCTTGTTCATCGGCTACTGATTTCTCTGGCTTCTCCCTCTCTGCTGCAGGCTTTCCTTCCCTTATTCCTACCCTTTAAACACAACCATAAAGGAAAAGAATTATTATTTACTTGTAAGATTTGAGTTGGCTCCAACATACTCTTTTTTTCCTCCTATTAGCTCACATGGGGCTCCTATGTTTTCCAGTTGGATTTTCACAAGACCCTCCTTCCTCCCCTATACCCCCCTCCCCCATCAAGGAAATGCTATTCCCTAATTCAATTTAGGGCATCATAGTTTGGGTGAGAAAAGTCCCATCTGAGCCCAGCTTTTAGCCTTACACTCAAAGGAACATTTCTCAGTGGTAAGGAAGAAAGCTTGGATTTGGGGCAGACTAACCATAGATTCCAACTATCCACCCCAAATACTGCCTTCCATGGACTCCTATCATTGAAAGCTGACTCTACTCATATTTTCAGTGTCATTTCTGCCCTCCAGGTGCATGAATATCAGAGCTGATTGCAAGATCAATTAATTAGAGTAATTGACAGAAAGGATATTAAGCCTAGAAGCCAGAGCTATGAGAAAAGAGTTTCCTTTGGGAGATATCTCACTCAGCTCATGACAGTCCCGGTGACAGGGTACAGAAGACCTACCTGCTAACTCTGCCCTGGTGGGGGTGGAAGATGGAGTATCACAGAGACAGTACCACTGGGCCAAGAATGGTCACACAGCACTAGATTCACTTATATTCTCAGAAAAGCACCCCCAAAAGTCACTCCCTAACATTTTTACACTGCTGTCCCCTGTCTTCCTCAGGTCTAGGAAACTGGTGAGTAAACTCAGGACCCCCTATTACAATGAAACGAAACTTAGTCAAAAGGGAAAAAGAGACCCTTCAGGACTTCATTGACTTCTGACCTCAGCCTTTGAAATGGCTTTTCTCTGATTCCCCTGACAAAGCTGTGGTCTATTTAGAGCCTACATAAACAAAGTCAAAATACCCAGGGCTGGAGGGGTCGGCAGTGGAAATGAGGCAGTGTGTTAGAAATGCCAGCACATTTTGTGACATGCAGGGCGTTTTTTGTTGTTGGTTGGTGGGTTTAATCTTTGGGCCAAATGATATCCTCTCACTTGGAACTGTAGTCAGCAAGGGGAAATGCAGACCTCACTGAACACAAAGTACAGAAATAGGGTCCCAAGAAGCCTGGGATGCTTCTGCTCTGTTCCACCTGCACAACGTCAACCCCACTGACAGCACGGACAGAGGGTCTGGTTCACCTGGGGGATTTCACACTCTGTACACAGCTGCCTTGGCAGGACTGGCAGCCTTGGCTAAATTACTAGGAATTAGCAGGAAAAATAGAGTCATTTCCTTCAAACACTGCAAAAAGAATCCCAATTCTGCCCACACATATCTATAACTTGAAGAGAGCTCCATTTGAAGAGTTTTTGTTTATTTTTGGCTTTTCCTGGCAGTGACTGTCGCATCCTAGATGCTGGGTGGTGTGTGGTCCAGAGATGCCCTGCAGTAGCAAAGGACAGGAAGGCGATGCAGACTCCAGGGGCACCTTGTGGGTGCTGTCAAGGTGGCCTGGAAAGGAAGCTTGATCTATTCACCAAAGTTTTGTTTCTCTTTCTGAAATACAACATTCCTGTCCCATTTCTTGGGCTAAGCAAATTGGGGGTGTGGTTTCACTATACTTACCAGTGCGTTTTTCATTGATTTATCGATCCATTGTATTTGCATAACTCCTGAGTGCTTGGATACATTGTGAGTAAAATAGGTGAAAAATCCTCATTCTTGTGGATTTATTATATTATTTAATACTTGTGACAGCCCCATGAGGTAGGTACACTTATGATGTTCTTTTTATAGGGGACCTGTTCAAGTCACACAGCCAGTGAATGGAAAACCTGGGATTTGAACCCAGGCAGGCTGGTCTCAGAGAGCCCCTAGTCTCCCCATGGGCTCTGTACTCTCTGGTGGGACTGATGGCTGTGATTGCAGGTGGACAGCAGCAGTAGTTCAGGCATAAACCTGTAATTTCTAGAGGTAAAGTCTTTAATTCCACAAGATAATTTAAATGATAAATATTTAGAGTCTGTTGTGGCTGAATTTCACACTAAGATGTCAGTAATTAAAAGCATCCTCAGTCAGGCACAGTGGCTCATGCCTGTAATCCCAGAATTTTGGGAGGCAGAGGTGAAAGAATTGCCTAGCCTAGGGGTTCAAGACCAGCCTGTCCAACTTGGTGAGACCATATCTCTGCAATAAATAAAAAATTTAGCCAGGTGTGGTGGTGTACACCTGTGGTTCAAGCTATTTGGAAGACTGAGGCAGAAGGATCACCAGAGCCCAGGAGGTTGAGGCTGCAGTGGCTATGATCATGCCACTGCACTACAGCCTGGGCAACCGTGTGAGACTCTGACTCAAAAAATAATTTCAAAAAATAATAAAAGCATCGTCTTTCCTTTTAACAGTTCTCATAAGCAGGGGAAGGTGAATCAAAGAGCTGAGAGACCCAAAGACTGAAGGAAGGTGGGAAAGATGATTTTGGGGTGGAGGTAGAGGCAGGTGCTGAGGCCAGGGTCTCTCAGATCAACAGTTCTCAGGCTTAACATTTTGCCAAGGGCAAGTTCTGCTAGGACAAACCAAATAGTTCAAGTTTGGGATTTTGTCAGCCACTTTTATGAGATCAATGTGATTACTTCACCCAAAGAGCTTAAGACAAAAAGTAAGAGTCAATTGGCTCAAATCACACTGTTCAACAAGAAATGGATTCATTCTTACTTTGCCGACTGGCTTCTCAATCAGAGGGCTTGGAAAGCACACTGGAGTGATGCTGCTGTACACAGAAGGCCTCCATTGCTGTTCCTGCAAGAAAGGAAACACACACAGAGAGATTTCAAAAACGAGGCTGGCTTTCCTGCTGCTCACAACAGTGCCTCAAGCACTGAAGCTCAATGGCTGTCACTTGAAATGCCTGAGTCAGCATCTTTGCATAGCCTCTTCAGTTTGCAGCCTATGCAAACCCATTTGTCCAAGGACACCATTTTGAAGGAATTCATAAATTCAGAATATCCTCATCTTCATCTGTTAAGGTACCTTTCAAGAACATAGACTATGCAAATCTTTTTTTAAAAGAAAATAACTTTCCTAATATCTCATTGTATAGAAACAATGACCACGTATAACCCTCTAGCTTTCAAATCTTTGACTCTATATGAGATAATTTCTGAAATTCTCCACCTGCTACTCACAGCCCTCTCAAGAGCCCATACTTACTCTTTCAGCTTTGACTCTAATCTGACCCATAATAACCCTAAATCTCACACCACATGGAACAATGTGTTTTTCATGAACAATCTTCAATGTCTGCCTTTCTTTTGCTATTCCAGATTCCCAAAACAGTCTTTCTTCAATATCTGCCTGCAAATTCCTACCTGTTCTTTAAAGACCAGTTCAAATTTCCCAGGAAATATTTCACTATTTTTCTAACTAGAGTCAGAAAAAAATTCTTCCCTACCACAGAGTCCCATGGTACTATTATTAGCTATGGCTTAAATGTGTTCCCTGAAAGCGCTGGAAATTTAATTGCTATTGTAACAATGCTAAGAGGTGGGGTCTTTAATAGACTGATGCTGTTATCAGAGAGTAGAGTGGACTCCTAATAAAATAATACATTCAGCTCCCATTTTCTCCCTGGCTTGGGTACTCCTCTCCCCTCTCACCTTCTACCAAGGGAGGACCCTCACCAGATACCAGCACTTGGATTGAGCAGCCTCCAAGAGAACCACAAGGCCAATACATCTCTTTTCTGTGTAAGTTACCCAATCTGTGCTATTCTGTTACAGCAGCATAAAGTGGGCTAAGGCAGCATGCTTGGCCCTGTCTGCTGGGAATGTAAGCTACTGAAGACAGGACTCATGTCATGGTTATCTTCTATCCTTCACAATCTAGTTCTGGTCTTATACGATATAGGTGCTCTTCTTTGAATCAGAGCACATTTTACTCTTGTCAGCTAAATCATTTTCTTTATGTCTTTATTCATTTCCAAAACACTTCGTGAGACCTGCCCTCTCCAATCTCAGCCCCAATCTACACATATTTTTCACCCTCTCTTTTAAATCTTGTTAGAGGAGACATCAAGAGACCTTGACTGATTGAAATCAAACAAATTGAAAACAAACAAATGCTGGGATCGGTGGCTCAGCCTGTAATTCTAGCACTTTGGGAGGCTGAGGCGAGTGGATTGCCTGAGCCCACGGGTTTGAGACTCACCTGGGCAACTTAGTGAGACCTCATCTCTACAATAAATAAATAAATAAATAAATAAATAAATAAATAAGCTGGGTGTGGCACACGCCTGTAGTTCCAGCTACTTAGAAGGCTGAGGCAGAAGGATTACTGGAGCCCAGCAGGTCGAGGCTATGGTGGCCGGGAGCATGCCACTGCACTCCAGTCTGGGTGACAGAGTGAGAATCCAACTCCAAAAAAAAAAGAAAAGAAAAGAAAACAAACAACCTTAATGGTAGGTACCAATAAGCCCCACAACATGAAAATAAGCTTTAAGAATGAATCAGCAAGTACTCACCCATCCCCACTCCCTGCTGTCCATTAATTGGCCGTTATTTGAAAAGTTTTTTCAGTGGTCTTACCAAGGAATGGAGTATGACCCTCTGGAGCCTCCACCTCTGCTGTTACTAATTATTGTATCCCCCTCCCCCAGGCAAATTACTTGTACTCTCAACCAGGGGGGCCCTATCTGCAAATGTGGTTTGTATTATTTATACACATCTCACAGGGTATTTTGCAACTAATTGCAATGATATCTGTTGTCTAGAAAGGCAAGGCATAATTCTCGGGGAAGAGATTCTGTGGTTTACCCTCTGGAGAAGCCATTCAAACCTCTGACTTCTTCCCAGAGTCTGAAAGCAAGGGTTATGGTTGAATTCCGAGAGATGTGGATTTCTGTCCGTGAGGAGTTAAGTGAGACCAGCAACTCATTTCACAGGTCATGTTCCAGCCATCAAAGTGTAATTACCATCAAACCCCACTGGCATGGGTCCCAACCGCATTAGTGAACGCATGAATGAAAGTTCCAAAGGATCCCATTACCTACTCTCACCTTCCAGAGATAAAAAGACAGTGAATGGCACCAGAGGAAAGGCCAAAAAAAAATCAGCTTGAGATGGCAACTTTTTTTTAATAACTGAAAATAACCATTTCAGTATTGACGATAGGAAAACATGATTCTGTTTCAAGAAAGTCCATCTGCAGAAGCAGGAGATGAATCTGGAGAATTCTGCCCTTCACATGGGCTCCTCTAGTTGCTATGGCAACGTGCAACTAGCTTTTTCAGGGTGTTATGTAGTCTGGTTTTCCTTAGACCAAACCTTCCCTTGATTCATTTGCATTGGGTACACTTAAGACCAAAACAACCCAGCAGTTGCAAAGCATAGATTTCTTACCTAAAAATTATTTGGTGGGAAAGTATGATTCTGAGCCACACATACAAGGGAACTTTGGAAACAATGGTTTCATGTGCAAAACACAGAGCAGTGATGGGCATATAGTGACTATTAGATGACATTTCCCTTGACCTATCCCTCGTCCTCATTTCTCCCCACAGGGTTTTGTCATGGTTGTCTGGGTGACTGTTGTTCTACACCAACTCGCCATTTGCTGACTGTGGGGTGTGGGGACTGAGGACAAACTAGGAATAAGGGTAGTAGCAAAGAATTTGAGAAGAGCTGTCAGCCTCAGGCAAATCAGCTATCCTTTCCAAATCTCTAGGAAAGGAGGGCAACTATTATCACCCTTATCTTCTTCCAAGAATAACTTCAGAGCCCTCCAAAAAGCCAGAACTTCCCAGAGGTTTCCATAGGAAAAGCACCTCATCTGAGACTGGACTTGTAAAAGGAGACCAGAGACATTGTTAAGGCCTTGAATTGTAACTGTAATGACTACCCTTGGTGTTTATCCTGGTGCCTGAAATATAAGAGCAACTTCAGATGCAAAAGAAAAGAGACAACCTAAGTTTGAGGAGGAAAGGTATGAGGGTGGTCCTGCAGGCTCAACCAGTTGAGTGAGCAGTGGGATCAGTCCATATGGCATCTGCTAAGCCGTGTCCCCATGCAGCTCAGATGACCAAATGACCCTGATGACTCTGAAGGAAAGAATGCATGCTCTCTCAGAAAGCTTGATTTGATACTCCATACACAACAAGGATGCTTGTGTTGGTCCACTGCCTACCTCTCCCTACACCTCTAGGAAGACAGAAGCAGATTCTAGTTTCAGGTTTGTCCTCCTCTCTCCCACCTCACCATCACTCATTATTTACCAGGACCAAAAGTAACAGTCCTGTGTGTCTGTGCAGCATTTTCAGAGAACAGTTGACAAGGCACTTTGGTTGGCCCTCACTCTGCTGAAAAGCCAAGAGCTGTTTCTGGGTTTTAGGACGTCCAGAGAATGGTGACCTTTCAAACAACAGGAGCAGAAGAAGGAGAAAGTTCCTAAAACGGGGTATGTGGTATAGTTCGGCACATGCCTGGCCCCTGCTCTGTCTGGCTCCCCAGCCAGTCTGTTGAGGCCAACCAACCGGGATCTGAGCTCACCCCGCCTGTCCCAGCTGGAGTTCCTTCCTTGGAGGGGTCAGGCACACAGATGCAGAGGCGGGGTGGCCTTGGGAAGGGAGGAGGCCTGGGTGGAGGACAGCGCAATGCTGACTCACTCAGACCTAACTAGACTTCCTCCACTTGTCCACACTCCAGTACGGCTTCTGGCGAACTTGAGTAAACTGTGCGCACTGCCACATCTTCCTCCCTCCTTTTGGGCTGATATCATAGCCTGTGAGCAGGGAGGTCACAGGAGAAAACACTCACAGGCATCTGGTTTGTAAGTTGGCCAGACAAGACCCTGTGGAGCCTGAGCTGCTCATCCAGGCTGCAGCACCTCACTGGCACCCAATTCCCTGAAACAACTCTGCTATGTTTGTGCATTTAAATGTCCATTTCCTGGATGATTTTCATGCTGATTTTTTTAAATGTCCCTAGTGGGCTACCCCCCTTCCCTGAGCTTTGTGCATCTTCAGTACCACCAGGCTACCATTACAAGGAACATCAGGACATGCACTGTTGAAACACCCTGCAGTCCCAGATACAGGCTCTTTCCCGTCACCCTGCTCACATGCTTCTGAGTCTCCCACCAGCCTGTATCCAAATGCATGCATGTTTAGTCAGATATCACTTTGAAAACTTGAAAAAAATAGTTTTGATTTTTAATTATTATTGGTACCTAATGGGGTATATATTCGTGGTGTACATGTGCTTTTCTGATATAAGCATGCAAGGTACAGGACTCCCAGCAGGGCAGCTGAGGCACCCATCACCTCAAGCATTGATCTTTAGAACACCACTTTGTATCAACCTCTTCAAACTCTTGTATCCACCTAGTATCATGCATTACGTGTTTTATGTTGTTAAATAGTTTCTAGATTTATAATATTCAATAACTACACAATGCTCCATCAACATGATAGATTACAGTGAATTTAATATCTTCATACATATTTTTATTTCCATTTTTTTCCAGTAATTAAATATACTTTTTTTTTTTGGTCTTTTGAGTCATTTCTTTAGAATACATTTTCAGGAGATTAGGATTCCTAGGCCAAAAAAATTGACATTTTTGTGGCTCTTTGTATTTACTATATATTTATTTCAAAAGGATTAGAGTGGTTCACACAGCTATCTCTTATATATAATATACATACATATGTATGTATATACACACCCAACAACTCTTTGTTTTTCTTAACAACAAACCACTGAGCAACATGTCATGATTAACCTCATATTTATAGATGTAGACAC